AGATTGGTACTCGGTAATTGTCTGTGGTAGACCTGGTCGACGTGGATTATGGTCGAAAACAAGAGAGTCAATTTTGTACTTTAGAGAAAACTTTCTGGAGGATTTTGATTGGTTCATCAAAGTAGACGATGATTCTTACATTGTGATGGAGAATCTCAAAGAATTCGTGTCTCAACATAACCCAGATGAGCCTTTTTATTTTGGGAAAAGGTTCCGAACTTTTCTTCCGGTAAACATTGAAGTATTGATTATGATAAGAGTAAATTTTTGCATACTTTCAATTTTCTGGTACTTTTCGCCAATTAGCTTTTACACCAAGAGTCTCGTACACCAAGAGTCGGTAAGATGGATTAAAGAAAATATTTTAGTTCTGTCGTCCTGCTGGAATTAAGATTGCAGCTAGACAATTTTCAAAAAAATCAAATCCACATATCAGCAAATTAGATTTGGGTAGTATGTCCCTACTCTAATATGCATTAATTTTTCCAGGAAGGCTACAACAGCGGTGGTGCCACTTATGTTTTGAGCAGAAGGGCGGTGGAGAAAGTGTCAGTGCTGCTAAGAGGCAGCAAGAGCCAGACAGATCTGCTTACTAAAGACTGCATCGATAACAATTACTCCAATTCAGAGGACATCCAGATAGGTGCAATGCACAGCGCATCTCATCTTACATTTTCTAGAACAAATATGACACCATTTTCAAGTTCAAATTTCTGTATTTTAACAAAAAAAACAGGGGGGATCGAAGAATTTGTCGAAGGGGAGTTTGTCGACCATGTTTTACCTCAAACAATTGTTCAAGACAATTTATCCACGAAGGGAAAAAACTAAAATACGAGCTGTTCAGGTCATCACGAGTATCCGCTGTTGTGCTTTTGCTTAAAAATAATTTTTCAGCTCTCCTAAAACTCAAAACAGGTCTAACTTAAACATAAGGTATTTATACCTAAAATGGCTCCCGCAAAATAATTCAAAATGAAGTGGTGAGTGCGCCTAAATCCTAGTGTGTGTGTGAGGCTTTTTTTGTATCCTTTACTGCCTTAAACTGGCATCTCGATGAACTGGTAGTTTGTAAGCTATTTATCACACTAATTTAAAAAGATTCAAAATTTACGATCATTTCAAGTTTTATCGATTATTGTGTGTAAAGTTAGCCAGAGACTATGAACTTGTGGTCAACCAAAGGTGACAGACAACTCCGAAGGTTAAGTACCATTCGGCAAAAGAAATAGACAGATCGATTGATTGCATTGAGATGAGAACAAAAGTGCATTGAGATGAGAACAAAAGAACTGAAATAGACAGTGAACTAACTTAATCACTATTACCTTCCCCTTCTTGTGGAAATGATAAAAAAGGAAATTTAAAATACTCGATAAAATTTAGAGTTAACGACGAGAAAATTTAGCTAGAAAATGAGTTTTGATAATGATAAAGGTATGACCAAAATTTTGAGTTTTCGACCGCTCTATGGTCTGCCCTCTCCCTGTACTATTGCTTTTTTAAGTTTTTAACTGACGACACAATAAATGCACTTTTCGCCCCTTCTTGTTCTACTGCTTTCAGGTTTCTTCCTATCGAGATTTTTGAAAATAATCAGTCATGACGGCCCCCATTTTGTTTACCGCCGTGCGCTTCCTCACTCTTCGCTTTGATGCCGGTTTTGGTCCTGCGAATTTGCTAATTCCTGGCTCGAGTAAGACACCAATATCTGCTTTCTAACTCGCTTTTTCACTCCCGCCTTCGAAATTTCCGCTGCCTTCGATGCCATGAGCTCGCTTTTCCCAATTATCGCACGCTCCACTTCGTTTTTATTTTTTTCCTCCGTCTATCTTATTGTAATCGCAAGGCCGTAATTGCCTCGATGATTGTTCCCGCACCGATAGTTGCTGGCCACCCTCTTTGTTTATCAGGCCTGATCACTTGCGCCACCGGATGTGCGGTGGTTGCTTCCCTCTCCCCCTTTGAACTGATTTCCGGAGCCCTAGCTGCTCCTCGTGATGGCATTATTTTTCGCTGCTAGCGGTAAATTGTCCTTGTCGTCAGATTTGGATCGGTCCCCGTGGTCGGCTCGTTGATTTTTTTGCGTTGGTGAAGTGCTGCTCGTGATTATTTTCCGGTTTTTCGAACTCGATTTTCCTTCGAATCGTTTTGCGCTGCATGTCCTGTGGCGTAGATGGGGCGCTAATGGTTCCGGGGGCTGTTTTTCTAGGGGTCGTGGTTTTTCCCAAGGCTACTCCCGATTTCCAGAGAACAGCACCGTTACTCAATTTAACTGTGTGCGCACTTTCCGACATATTGTTAGAATTGAGTAGTTTATACCTGTTGAGGTTTCTCTCTTCCGTTCTTTGCAGAACAACTTCCGGTGGTAATGTTGACGCCGATGATACCATTTTAGCCTGATCGCCGGCTCAACACCCTTGCTATTCATCTGGTCGTCCGCCAAACGAATTGGGTGGCGCCTGTTCTTAAGGTTTAGACTCTTTCAGCCCTGACCTCCCAGATTCTATCGGCAGGGTGCGGCATATGTTGCGCTTCTGGTCTCTTTCATCTAAACAAGCATATTTCATACGTAATACTCTAGCCCAGTTGAGATTCTTTAGAGACTGCTTCCCTTGTTAAATTCATATGCGCCATATTTGCCTCCCGAACGTGGCGGGCCTCAAATGGCATCAATTTCAGCGTGGCATTATTGGAGAGTTTTAGACATCCGAGAGCCCTTTTGAGCATTTTGACCAAGAATTCTAATTTGTCTTCTCGAACAAAAGTAAGTACTGAAATCTTCAGACTACCACCAGTTCGCTCTACGCAAATCGCTGTTCGGTGATTGATTGCTCACTGGTGATAAGATTATCTTGATTCTTTCTTCATGACAAAAGCCTTAAACATCTTCGGACATGACGTTTGCCCATTGGTCGACAAGGCTTTGTCAAAGTACGCCGTGCGTGTTTATATGGGTTTTTAGAAACTTCAGGATTTTATCGGATGTATTTGAACAACATACCATGGCCAATTGCCATCTTGGGAGTCGTTCTATCGCTACAAGGACATACTTTTTAGATTCATTTAGGTAGTTGATCGCCCCCCACAGAATTCTAACTGTATTGATTCATTTGGTTTTTTTGGTTCGTTTATTTCCTCACGTCACCTTTTGGGCAAATGTGCCTTCTCGATAAATTTACGCTATCGATGCTACGGTGCAACTTTTACTGATATCCTTTATCCTTTGCCGCCTCGTAAATTTTGGACTTTCCATGATGATAATAGTGTAATCTGTTGTTCACCGCTGCGTTTAAGGAATTGAGAATCTTCAGCTTCTCGTCCATCCAGAGGCATCCATCTTTTATATGGAAATACAAAGGCATAGTATTAGCTCATAGCGTCAACTTTGCTTTGGATTTCTAGGTCTTTGCCTTTAACCATTTCTAAAAACGATTCTAAATAAAGATCTGCAGGGTAGTGGCAAGGTCATATAGCTCTAACATGGGACAGTTCTGGGAGGGCGCTTTGTTTATCTCCAGTTTTATAACTTCACGGAATTATAGACTTTACACAATTTTCAGGTTTAACCGGCGGATAAGTTTTGCGCGGAAAAGCCAAGGGAATTAAATTGATGGTATTACTCTTAGTGCTTTTGACGTCTATGGTATGTGCTTGCTGGTTTTGGTTCAGTTCTTCTTCTTTGTCACCGCTGCTGATGCTCGGATTTCTTTCGAGTAATTTTCTTAGCTTCCGCTTCACTTAAATTTTTAAAATTCATCACTTTTCCGATGAATCTCTAATCTTACTGAATTTAAGAGGAGTAGCTGCACTAACTAAATTTTCATATTTTTGATTTAATCTTCCGGATAGGCAAATTGCTGGGCTGTGATTGGTCCGTTTTCCGTCGCATGCATTTCCGCCCTCTAATGATCATCGTGTTTTAGAGATTTTGCAGACTCTTTTCTCACTGGCTTGTAGCGTTTCACTTTTGCATTTGGCGTTAATCAAACTTTTGAAACCGAGGGCGCCTCCAATTCAATTAACTTTTGCCACTGTGAACCTGATGTTCTATGTGCTAACCGGTTTATCTTCAGAGCTCGGGTTTCTGGACAGGTAATCTGCGAGATGAACTTTCGCCCCAAGTTTGTGCTCTACTTGAAAATCAAAGGGGATAAGACGGTCTAACCATCTTATAAGTCGAATGAACATAGTTTTGGCCATAATTAACATAGTTTTGATCTTAGACTGAACATAGATGTAATCAGTGTCTGTGGAGTTCTTCCTGTCTTTAGTCCTTTGACATTCATCCTGTGGAATTCATCCTGTTCTAAGGTATAAGTTTGATATCAAGGACAGTTCCGCCTCCATGTTTTTCGCATCCTGTTTTTCGCATCTACGTCCGCTGGTAAGGCCGCAACTTGGGCTGTGGTTAGCGTACCGGAATAGTGGAAGGTTTTCGGGTTAATGCTCTGTTTGGCCACCATCCATCCTTGAAAAGGTGAAATCAAAACTCACATAGCATTGGCGGCTAACCAGTTTAGGAGGGCAGAACGACGTAATTCCGATGGGTTTTTCCCACCACTTTGGGATGTCAAGAAAGAGTTAATGATGGTGTAAATTTCAGATAGATATTTTGAGGCTGCACTGCAAAAAGTTAGTCGGATACATTGAACTAGAGTTCAACCAAATTTGACCAACAACTCCGAAAGTTAAAAACCAGTTAGCACCCGACAGATTGACTAATTGCATTGAAATGAGAAGAATAGAACTGAAATGGGTTGTGAACTAATTTAAAATTTAAAAAACTGGCAATTTTGAGAAAATGGACTTCTATTCATTTATGTTATGATATTTCAAATTGATTGTAATCGATTTAAATTTTTTAAAAAATTGATTATATTCGGTTGGGTGCTAGGGTAATTATAATCAAGTAATATGACAACATTTTGAGCATAAGCGAATATCGAATTTTGTCCACGGAAGTGTAGGTTACTATAATTCCCTCGTGTTTCATAAAACAGAATATGAACTGTATTGATCTCACTGTTGCAGCCAGATGTCTGGCAGGAGTGGGTGTCACACCTGGATACTCGCTGGACTCTGTGGGTAGGGAGCAGTTCCACTCCCTCAGTCCCAGGTCAGAGATGAGCAGCAAGCCTCCTGCGTGGCTCACCAAGTACTCATACCACAGATTACAAGAGGTAAGTTTATACTTACCCCTGATGAGGCCGGGGGAGGGGTTGCGTCTGTTTTTCAATATGCAAAACTTCATCCTATTAAATTTTTTTTCTGTTTTGTCCTTCAAACGATTAAAAACGAGCCCAAAAATCCAAAAGAATGTTTTGGCCTCAAGCATCAAGCAATTGGAGGAAAAAACTTTGCGCCTCCTATTCACAAGAGCTAAAAATCTGATGAGTTTTAGGGATTGAACTGCTGTTCGGAGAACACTATCACTTTCCACTATATCGGCCCGAGTGAGATGAAGCTACTAGAAGTCGCACTTTACAGGATGAAAGTGGCGAAACCAATCGAGTCCCAGTAGTAGATATCGAACACATTTTAACGTCTGTTGTCAAAGATGTTTGGCTCAACAAACTAAATAACCCTGAGACTGAACCGGGCTTAAGATATCGTGTGAATCAATTTTTGTGTCAGTTTGAAATAAAAAAAATGGCTTGTTACAAATTTGCTATTTCACTTTTGTCTTTTTTTCTGAACAGAATAAAGAGCAAAATGCAAGGAAACCAGAAAACAGTACAGCCAGATATCTAAGAAAAGCAAATAATCCGGCAGCGATCAAGTTTCACCAAAAAAGGCGGATCAACTACTTCAAATTCTTTTTGCAAGATGAATTGTTTGATTTTTGGGTTGTAGGAAATTTTTAGGGACAGTAGATTTTTTAAAGCTTTTTCGTTCGGAATCCCTCACTTGTTTCTCTTTAAAATACTATTTACCAAAGCGAATACAAGAAGCATGCATAAAAAAGTGAGCCTCTGGAAATAAATGTAGCCAAAGTTGAGGGGTTACACCTGCTCTCCACATGCTATTGCAATCCAAGTTTGACAAAAAAAAGTACTCGGTTCCAGGGGCAGATCTAAAATTTTCTTGAGGGGGCAGATATTTCTGCAACAATGTTTTTAGGAGACATTTACAAGTTTTTAACGAACAGTTTTATGGTAATTTTTTGCCATCGTTAAGATATTAATACCCGAAACTCAGAATTAGAAAGATAGTTTAGTTTCGATTGTTCACGTGAAGTTTCGATTGTTTTCAATTTTACCGTTTTGGTCAACTTAGGATAAATAAAATCAGCGCAGTGCTTCATATTTTTATAACACGTAGCGCAGGGTTTCTAAATTGCCTCTTCTCACAGATCATCTCAAACTAAATTGAGGCTGGCTGGTTAATCCGAATAAGTAGGAGGAAAGAAAACTTCTTTATTTTTGCAAGTATCGACAAAATTTTAAGAGAAATGAAAGCAGTTTTAAGGTTGAAGTTGAAAATATTCAAGTTTCAAATATAAGTGCTTAGGTAATTTATGTGGCAGAGAAGTGCCTACCCCAGTGATTTTGCCAGATAATCCGCATTTTTCTTGCTCAATTTTTGTAAAATTACAAGTACAGTTACTAATTTTGCAAGAGTTTTAGAAGATTTATGTTTTGTTGCTGGTAAGTTCAGTGCTTTTTCAACAGATACTTAATAAAAGCTAAAATTAGAGGTTGCTGATTTTTTGCCAAGACGAGGGATGCCTTTGAAAAAAGACTTTGTGCATGAAAGGAACTTTCTAAAGGTACACGTCATTTTTGAAAACAGTTTAAGAACGTGTAAATTAGATCTAGAGCTTGAAAAAACTAATTGTGTAAGTAATCGGAAGATTTTTACCGCTCCATAAGTTTAGTTGAATATTTGGATATTTGCACAATATTCAATTTATATACATCAGTAGTTTAGTTTTGAGGAAACAATGAAGCACCGAGAGTCATTGAAACACACTAAAAGAGGTCCTTTAAATTTAATAATATTAATAAAAGTTCAATAATCATAATCTTATTTTCCAGCCAAAAAACTTATAGGCATACATACATTCTATGAAATTGTACGTTTACAATTTAGTTACGGCTGGCTGAATTCTGTCTGGTTTTTGGTTTGCAGGAAATTTTCAAGGACCGTTTTTTAGCTTCTTCGATATCCCTCTCCTGTTTCTCTTAAAGAATACTATTTGCCAAAACGAATACAAGAAGACGCTTGAATAAAAAAGAAGCCTTTTGGAAATAATTGAAGCCAAAGTTGAGGGGTGACACCTGCTCTCCACATTCCACTGCAAACCTTTTTTGACAAAAAAAGATCTCTCTTCGGTTCAATATAGAAGTTCATATAAGTCAACAATGTCGTATGTATATCAAGACGTGATAAACACTTAAAAGATATAAACCGTTAAAACTTTTAAAGTTTTCAAAATGTAGAATATTCTGACAGTTTTTATGCAGATATTAGCAAGTTTTTAACAAACAATTTTATGGAAAATTTTTTTACCATCTAGAAGAAATTAATACCCTAAATTGAGGAAGAAGATAGTTTAGTTTCAATTGTTTTCTTTTTGTTTTCAATTTTGATGGTTTTTGATTGTTTTCAAGCTTTCAAAAATGAAAGCAGTTTCACGGTTGAAGTTGAAAATTATTCATGTTTCAAATCCAAGTGCTTAGGCAAGTTATATGGCAGAGAAGTGCTACCGTTCCGTTATCCGATTGAAACGTCATCGGACAACCATGTCTCGGTATCCACGTATTGATTAGATGATCGCACGTCTCTTCTGCTGAGGCAGTTATGCAGGGTACGGCATCTGCATACTTCGTGAAGTGGTCTATCATGACCAAAACCTGATTATCTGTCATACATATTTTCTGGTGGTCAATCTGCACCACCTCGTTGAATTCAGATGACTCGATCGACTGCAAGGGAAATCGCAATTTCCTTGGATCCTTGAGCTGTTACCCACTTCTCGCATGCCTTCTTCATTCCAGGCCACTTAAAGCGCTTCAGGATCCTCTGGTACACTTTGTCGATTCCCTGATGGACCATCTGATCATGCGACTTCAATAAAAGTTCTGTCTGATAGAGTTTTGGCAACAATATTGCGTTGTATTTGTACAGGACTTTGTCTTCTTCTCTTCTCTTACAAGCCACGATCCCGTCCTTGTTCAGATATAACCTTCCCTCTTTTTGCATAAAGTACTGTCTCAGAATACGGTAACTGTCTTCCTCCAGGTCACCTTTGTCTGGTGTTCCATTTTCGATCCACATTTTCAAGTTACTCGTCATGTGGTCATTTCTTTGTGCTCTTAGTAGGTCTGAGAGTCTATATCTCGCCTTCAAGTACGTCTTCATGACCATCATATTACTATTCGTTTCATCCGGCTGATGCGTGTCATCTTCCATCTTCACGCACCAGTTTTTCGCCAATGGTTCTAACTCTTGTCTCAAGGGTTGAAGATCTGTCCTGACCACTTCTTTCTGCGGCAACAAACTCATCGATCGTTTCGATACCGCTATTGTTTCTAGATCATCAGCTGCGTTGTCAAAGACTGTTTCGCTACGTAGCAGACAGCGATCACTGCCAGGGTCTTGATACACCTCTCTGTCCAAGTCTCTTGCTCGAGTCTCCACTAATAACATGTGGATCGCTAGCTCTGACAATTGCGATCCCGTGCTCGAGTTCCTCTCTGAGTAGGTGTCAATTCCTGAATTCCCTGAGTTGTCATCAATGGAAAAGTCTGTCACTGAGCATGTTTTTCTTTGGGATCATTTTTAAGCGCTCTGCTTATCCATCTGAACTCCCCGGACAAAATTTTATCTTCCAGGTCTTGTTCCTCAACTTGAACATTTTCCTTTACACCTGACTCCCCGGACTATTTTTCTTGTCCCGGGTCTTGTTGATAAACTCGCCTGTTCTTATCAACAACCTTATCCCCAGACAAGCTTTCTTGCCCCAGGTTTTGTTCAACCTCTTCGCCTTTCTGATCCTGATCCTCAAAGGTGACGGTTTTCCTTTGTGTCCCTTTCACCTGTTCTTTCCGTTTGTATGATGTACTTTTCAGGACGTTTTGGGGTATCGAGGACACTAGTTGCTGAACTATTGTCCTATAATCCCTTTCATTTTCCTCGTGTTGACGTCTTGATGGTTAATCTTTATTTTCTCACTGACTGTCAGCGATGCCATGGCAGCTGCTTACTCGGGGTCATCTCTTGTTACTTCTCTCTCCAACAATTCACCCAGCATCCGCATCGCTTGCGGAGTGACCTGGGCCGTTTTATCCAGCAATGAGAGGCTGTTTATGTTCACACGAGAGAGTTCTTGTTGGACCAGGTTCAAACGTAGCAACAGATCCGAAAACACCGGGTCCTTCTTTGATAGGATCTTTATTTCCGCTGCCTTTTCCACCGGTAACTCGGGGTGTCCCGGAATTGGATGTCCAGATTTGTCTAAACATCTCGTCAAGGAAAGCGCCTCATAAGTTTCTTTATTCAGAAACGAGAACTCTTCCTTGATTTCCGCCTGATTGGCTTGCTTCTGTTCAAGTCTTTCATAAAACTCAGTCTTCTTGCTGAGGCTGTCAGCATTCTGGTGTTTGTCACGCATCCTATACTCGATTATCATGTGGTAGCCGTCTAATTTGGTTATCCACCGACCTGGGTCGTTTAATCCAGGAATGACAGGCTGTTTATGCTCATACGAGAGTGTTCCTATTGGAACATGTTCGAACGTAGCAACAGATCCAAACGCACCGGGTCCTTTTTGATAAGATCTTTATTTCCGCTGCCTTTTCCACCGGTAACTCGGGGTGTCCCGGAATTGGATGTCCAGATTTGTCTAAACATCTCGTCAAGGAAAGCGCCTCATAAGTTTCTTTATTCAGAAACGAGAACTCTTCCTTGATTTCCGCCTGATTGGCTTGCTTCTGTTCAAGTCTTTCATAAAACTAAGTCTTCTTGCTGAGGATGTCAGCATTCTGGCGTTTGTCACAATACCTGTGCTCAATTATCATGTGGTAGCCGTCTAATCTGGTTATCCACCGACCTAGATTGTTTTATCCAGCAATGAGAGGCTGTTTATGTTCATACAAGATAGTTCCTGTTGGACCAGGTTCGAACGTAGCATTAGATCCAAAGGCACCGGGTCCTTCTTTGATAAGATCTTCATTTCCGCTGCCTTTACCACCGGTTACTCGGGGTGTCCCAGAGTTGGATGTCCAGATTTGTCTAACCATCTCGTCAAGGGAAGCGCCTCATAAGTTTCTTTATTCAGAAACGAGAACCCTTCCTTGATTTCCGCCTGATTGGCTTGCTCCTATTCAAGTCTTTCATAAAACTCAGTCTATTACTGAGGCTGCCAGGCATTCTGGTGTTTGTCACGCATCCTGTGCACGATTATCATTTGGTAGCCGTCTAATATGACTATCCACCGACCAATATAGCTCTGATCCATCGAGTACGTCTTCAACCAGGATAACGCTCTATTGTCCATGCGTAACTTAAAGGGAGCGCTCTACTTCTCCACGAATGTTACCACTGCAAACATTTCTGCCTTTGGTGCACCATACTTCATTTCAGTGTCACTCAACACTTTACT